AAAAAAAAAAAAAAAAAGATGGTATGTGTCTTCAGGAGCCCCTGCTGAAGAAAAATTGTGCTCTGAGTGTGGTCTCACTTAATCACAGGTGAGTGTATTTTGCTTGGGACAACAAACTCACCCAGCATCCACTTGCACTTGTCATATCATTGAAAAAAAAAGAAAACAAAACAAAAAAACAGTCTTGGCCAAGGGGTGAGCTCCCTCAAATACGACAGGCTTAGTGAGGCAAATAGGCCCACTGTACTCTGTGAGTCCCATTCAAGTTGCATACGTTTTGCTGCTTTATCTGCCTTCAGGCAACATCTCTTGCCTTGACCTTGATCTGCCTTAGGATCAACATCCTTTCCTGCATCTTCCCTACCTGGCATCTGCCTGGTTTATTGTCATACTGCTCTAGGCACCTCCTCCATTTTACTGCTTGCTGTTTCTCTAGACTTTCTGTGCTTTTTTACCTGTTCTTATGAAGTTCTCTTCAAGGTACCTCAATCTAACTTTATTGAGAGTGAATATACCCTCCTGGGGTTCTCCTTTTATCAGATTTTTAAGAAGATTTCCTGTGGCTTTGTAGCCTTTCTTTGCTCTATTATCTGCCTTGCTTATCCCTGTGTGGTGGGCATTGCTTCTCTTTGTACTTTGGAGTGGTGGTGTAAAGCCAGCTTTCTTCTTCAAATCCATTGGTTGCCTTCCAGTCAAAATAAATGATTTTGGTTTAATTGTAACAATTTTTGCATTTATATAATGATTTAGGACTTGTCATGCTCATGTACATGATGAGCTTGAACGTGGGATGAGGTGAACTTCCTTGACTTGTTTGCAGGCAGAATTCCTTGCTGAGTTACATGTCTAGTAAGATGTTTCTGGCTTCCAGCTCCATGTTCATGTGATGTCTGCAACCTAGTGACTTGGTTTCTATTGTTAAAGTAGGGCATCAATTTAATTCTCTGCCAGACAATGTCTGTAGCACTCGATTTTTGTTTGTTTGTTTTGCTTTGTTTTTTTTTTATGAGTACTGATTTTGTATGACATAGCTCTTACACGCAATAACATATAAGAGCCCACTGCCATTGTGGGCTGCCTAGAACAACTCTGGCATGGAGTTCAAGAAATGCAGTGGCAAGTAGAGGCTCTTGAGATGTCTTTCAGGCTTGCATGTACAGGTGTAGCCAGAAAATTTAATTCTGTAGGGTAGCTGATCTTGAATGTTTCAGCACTAAAAAATTCATTGTGGGTTGGTTTGTAGAAGGGTGGAGAGGAATTGTGAAGTGAATTTGAGATGATGAAGATGATTTTTTTCAAAGGTGGGGTTTTTGTTTGTTTTTTAGGATGGAGAATCTTTATATCAACCGTTTTATGCATATGTTCCAGTCCTCCTGGAGTGACTTTGCAGATTTTGAGAAGATCTTTGTCAGAATCAGCAACACAATCTCTGGTGGGTACATCAGAATTTTCTCTTGCTCACATCCCAGAAGTAGTTGTATCGATTTCTGATTAGGGCGGAAGTGGCTGACCACACTTCTGATCCTCCCTGCCTTATCATAAATACCACTGTACTCTTAGACTGCTGATCCCACTAGTAGACTGCAAGACCAGAAAGTGAGGCTATGATCTCCCTTAAACTAAAATTTCTGATGTTTGTTCCATAATGTTCTCTCTCCTGTGCTATCCTGAAGCTGAACATCATTGTTATCATATTTTCAGATATGTGCAAGATTCATATGGATACATTTTTAAAAATACTTAATAAATAAACCTGGTGATAGCTTACTGGCTTTTCAAAGCACATTAATTGTTAAGGACATTTGAAAATTCATCATGTATCTCCCACATCTGCCATCTCAAGGTACAGGGAAGACTCCAAGAGGCACTGTTGGCAATGTTGTCCTCTAAATGCAAGGGCAGTGGTCACGACTTTTGGCCTTCTGCATAGACCAGATGCAGGACTATTGCCCATGTACCAGCCACATGTCTGGTTCTGGCTGTGCTGATCTGAAGGTCTTGGCTATGCTGCCTGCTTTGCCATGGGAGGGTGTCCCCATCACCTCACTGCTGTCCTGCTCCGTGTGCAGCTCTCCCTCAGCTGGTCCTTGCATTGGGTCAGTGATGTGGGGTAGTTTAAGTACTTTCAGCTGCACATTTTTCCTGACAGGATGGCTTTGACAGAACTTATTTCAGGTGTGAATGTGTGTGCTGTTAGAGCAGCCTCTCTGGGGACAGATATCAAATGGCTGGGAATGACCCAGGAACTCCAGCTTCTTCACTGGGTCTGCGGCAGCCGCAATAGGCTAGCGGACCACAGCCTGAGTAACCCTAAAACTGAATGGAAATTGGTGGGAGTTAGGTCTGCAAAGCCTTGTGGCATTTATCGGAAAGCTTACCCTTTCCAAAAATACCTCAGAATTAGTTGTGCATCCTGTCCCTGCCTCTAAATATTACACTGTGTTTGCTATTTTACAGTCACATCTTCATAGAAAAAAGTATTTTAAAAAGATCGTTCCTCTGTATGAGTGAGTTTCACTTTTCATTTCGGCAATATTAAGTTTCTGGAGCATCTTTCAAACTATTAAAACTCCATTGATGTAGCATTAATAAACTATAAAAATATTTATTTTCTGTAATCCCATTTGCTATGGTAATCTTGGCAGTTACTTGAAAACCGAGTAAAAGAATTTCAGAGAGGCAAGTTTCTTGAAGCTGATGGTGTCATTTTTGTAAAGCAGGGCTGCAAAGCCCTTTACTTGTGGTCCAGACCCTACCTGCTATTGTGATCGACAGCAATACAGCTTTGTTTTATTTTGCTATATTACTGGACATGATAGGTAAACAGTGTACATTTGTTAGCATACGGCTTAGCAAATGTGTGTTTTTCACTCCTGCTCTGAAGTTTCGTACTTCTTTAGGGAGGCCAAGGGCAATTGACAGGCATAGGAGTAACTTCTGTGATCACTAGTATAAAACAGAGCACACAAGTTGGCCAGAAACACAGCAATTTTTACATGTAATAGCCTACTTCCTAAAGTATTTTTATAGTATGGTTTATAATATAGATTAATTTCATTGATAACATTTCGTATTTGAGAGTGAAACTCTAATTCTGTATGTCTTGAATTTTAAGCATCAGTCTCAAGTACAGTAATGCAACTCTGAACCTGTCTATTTGCAAACATTTGCAGAAACGAGGGTAATGCAGAAACTCATTCAAGAAAAATAAGTTTTTCTAGAAAAATAAGTTCCTTTCACAAAGAGATGTCTGGCTTGGCTGAAAATAGACAGTAATGGAAAACTTAACGTACTGTGTTTTTCCCCACAATACATCAGTAGGATCTTTGCACTGATCATGTGTTTTTCCAACTCTGAACTTGGAGTCTGAAATGCTCACATGGCATTACAAAACTGAAAGCTGCAATTGCTGAAAACATATAGTAGTTCTATGTATGCTGTAGTGAGGACATTGCGTACCTGAAGCTAGTGGTTTTTTAAAGATGAATTGTTAATCGGGTCACTGACAAAGAGAGGAGGGAAAACCAAACCAAAACAACAACAAAAAAAGCGAAGCAACGAATGACAGCTGTAGTAGGAGGTCCAAAGTCGATTGCTTTAGCATTTAATGTCCCTCTGCCTACCAGCTGTGAGAACCATGCCAGTCGCTGCTTTCGTTTCCCTACCCACATTACTATGTGTTTCGCTTCCGCTTCCTGTGCCATCTTTTTGTGGTTCGTTGCCCTGTACTGCAGACCCTGGGAATCCAAAGAATGGTAATTAGTAATCTGGGAGACCTGAGAAAGTGCTCTGCAGCGGGATAGAGTATTTTTCATTGGAGTGGCACATTTTATCTGTGATTGGTGCTGCAAAAGGAGAAACTATTGACTAATTCATTTTGAAGGGAAAAGATTACACTATGTATTCAGTTTAAGAGAATTTTTAAAGTTCTATGGCAACTATTGAATCTTCTTCTTGTTACTTTATTTAGTCAAAGTTGCTGTGTGATAAAATAAAAAGTGGGTAGGCAGAGAGGAACCTCATGTTGCAGTGATACTGATGCTGCGAGTTTCTTTTTTCCTTTAGAATATGTGATGCAGCACTGGAAGGAAGACTTCATGTTTGGATACCAGTTCCTAAATGGGTGCAATCCTGTTCTGATCAGGAAATGCACGGAGATACCCAAGAAGCTTCCAGTGACGACGGCTATGGTAGAGTGCAGCCTGGAGAGGAACCTGACATTGGAGGAGGAAGTAAAGGTGCTGCCTCAAACAAGGCTTCGCTCCAGCCTTTCTTCCCATCTTTTCTAACTGTTTTTAGCAGCATCTCCTCTCCTCAGGCTGTACGGTGTCATGGCAAAGCTGGTTGCTACTGCACCTTTCTGTTCACTGTTCTCCTGGAGCTGCAGGCCATGCCTTTCTCCAGGTTCAGTTAGACAGATATTATCAGGAAATGAAGGGTCCTTTCTTAGCGGTTTCCTTTGAATAGTTTGGGATTGACTGGCTCCCAGAAGTGTGCCTTTCTCTTTCCTAGCAGTATCCTGCCTTCTGTCATCTGCAGAGTTAGCTAACGTACCAAGGAAGGGTGAGTGAGAACAGGGCCTTCTTTTGGTTTCTATGATGAGTCAGGGAGTCTTCTTTGGGCTGGCATGAAGACGATGTTTGCATTAGCATCATTGCATGCAAGTCAAATAAACAGTAGCTCTTTGCTGAAAGGCTCACAATCGGGTTCTGCAGGCACAAGCCAGCTAGTTTATACTAAGGTACCTCAGTACCTCAAGGTTGTCTTGAGGGCATATAGCATCTCTGATACACGGATATACATCTACAAATGAGAGTTCACTGGCTGCCAGCTTGTAACCACAAGGCACCAGCCAGTTACCTTGATCTGGACTTACCAGCTGTTTTGGTCTGAGCCTTATTGCTTGCAGCTTTCTTGCCTTCCTTCTGCCCCTCCCCTGAGTGCTGTCTTTATCCTCTCTCATCTCTCTCTTGATTTCTGCCCTGTCCTGTTCTCCCACACTTTTTGCTGTGTTTCTTCCTCTTTCCCTATCTCTGCCAAAACACGTCACTCCCTTTGTTTTTTCCAGCAAGGAAACATTTTTATTGTGGACTACGAGCTACTGGATGGTGTGGATGCCAATAAGACAGATCCATGTACAATACAGTACTTGGCTGCACCCATCTGTCTACTGTATAAGAATCTGGAGAATAAAATTTTACCCATTGCAATCCAGGTGGGTTTGCTGTCATGATCTTTAGAGGGATACTTGGCTTGTTGGCTTGGGCAGCCCTGTAAGCATGAATTACTTGGATTTTGTATTCTTCTTATACATTCCAGCTTGGTCAAAAGCCTGGGCCTGGAAATCCCATATTCCTTCCTTCAGATGCCACATATGACTGGCTGCTAGCCAAAATTTGGGTTCGCTCATCTGATTTCCATATCCACCAGACAGTGACCCATCTCTTACGGACACACTTAGTTTCGGAGGTGTTCAGCATAGCTATGTTTCGGCAACTGCCTGCTGTGCATCCCCTCTTCAAGGTTAGTTTTTGTATTAAGGGTATGTGTGGGTTAGGGAGCTTATCACGTTAATCTGACAAACCAGAGGGAAACAGATCCCTGGTGATAGCCCAGCTGTGACAGCACAGCTGGCTGCCCTGTAAGGCAGTGGGCAGCTATTTGTCATCTTCCAAGTCTTTAAAATTTGCACCTGATTGCATAATATATTCAATCATGAATATTTGTCACCTTTCACTGTGTTTTGCAGCTCTTAGTGCCCCACATGCGGTTCACAATAGCCATTAACACCAAAGCCCGAGAACAGCTTATCTGCGAGTGTGGCCTCTTTGACAAGGTAAATAACCTGCTTTTCCGATCTTTATTATTCTTCCCAGTTTATCCTTTAGCCATCACATATTGCCTCTTTCTTGACCTTTATACTAGAAAGCAAACACTGTCAGTATAAGGTACCTATAAGCACAAAGTTAAGTGTATTTTTTTTTTTAAGTACTCAGTTATACATTTAGGGCAGGGTGGTAAGAAAAATAATTTCTGATTGCAGAAGGAAATTCACTGGTCTCACAGAAACAGATGTGAATATAAGATAGATTTTTAAGCCACAAATACAGGGCACAGATTCTAGCCATTATCTTCTTGAATTGCCATAAATAGCTGATCTGCAGATTTGTTAGGATTCAAATTTTCATCTGTGTTAATAATACATAGCCCTTTATCAGGGACTGTGGCTCAGATCATAGGCCGGATTTGAACATCTAAATACAATTGCATTAGCATTCAACATATACCCGGCTCATTCTCTTCTGGCTCTGATGATGAGTATGGTATTAAATGCTGCTCAGAGGGAATCCTGCAGTTCCAGGATCTGATTCCACTTTAGGTGAACAACCAGCTGTAATAAAATAAGTATAAATTTTAACTGAATGCTACTCCAATGGTAGCATCATATGCTAAAAAAGCAAAATTGGGGAACTTTTTTGCAGGTGCCTCATCATTTTAACTGCCTTCTCCTGCAATTAGCAAAGCTCAGCACAAGGTAATATTTATCTCCTGTACCTCTCTTGCCATTCTTCCTGCAGGCAAATGCTACAGGTGGCGGAGGACATGTACAAATGGTGCAGAAAGCAATGAAAGAACTGACCTACAGCTCCCTCTGCTTCCCTGAGGAAATTAAAGCTAAAGGGATGGACAGCCAAAAGGATATCCCCTACTACTATTACCGGGATGACGGCATTAAAGTTTGGGAGGCCATAAAGAGGTAGGAGATGATACGTGCTAGTTTTCTGCAGAAGAGAAGCATGGTACATAGAGAGAAGCACTGGAAGAGATCTGGAGAGTTTGTGAAGTCTCCAAGGCTGGAGGTTTATATAATTAGCAGTTTATATAAATATCTTTCAGGAAGTGGTTTAAGTGAAGATAATCCTGCCCAATGGCAGGTAGTAAACACTGTCATGTTTGGTGAAAGGGGGTGTGCCAATACCTTGTGAAGAGCAGTTAGCAGCTCCTGCGAGGTTCTGCTGTTTAGAGTGTGAAGAGCTAGAGACGGTACCTCACACACATCTTGCCTTTTGCAAGGCACAGCTGATCAGCTGAATAACTGTCTCATACCTGCAATGCAGCTTCTGAGCTCAGCGAGTGCTGGGCCTGATGCCCATGACAATGGCATGCTCTCATCCGGGGAAAAATACGTAGTCAAACACACACGCCTGAAAGGCTACTAATTCCAGCTCTTTTTCAGCCCTGTTCTCTACTACTCTGTATTTCAGAAATAGCTATATAATTACCTACTTCTGTATAGGTTACTGTAGGGGTCAGTGAGCAGGAATTTAGCCCTGCAAAGGAAATGTATTTAGTAACATTTTCAGTGATGCACAAACCAAACCAAAAGAGGACGCGACTCTGCTCGTCGGACACATGAGCTCTGCAGGGTTGATGTGGAAGTGAAAGTGCGAGCTTGGTTTGCAGGACAGAGTGCTGTTTAGAAACCCAGGCAATTAGGTATGAACTCATTTAACAAATCCTTTCTGAAAACGCCTTAAAATTGCAAGGCCTAAGTTTTGTTATGAATGGCAGCAATGCTGCATCTGGAGATGTTGTAGTACAGGTCTGCTCCATTGTACAAACACAGCTGTCTTCAGACCTGAACCACAGTCTCATAATGGACTGTTTCACATGCATTTCAGCCTACATTGGCATTTTAGTCACACAAAAAATGTATTTTTCATTGTATAAGAGGCTTGCTAGATATGCAGCTGCTTCTGATCATACAGCTTTAGAAAAATCTATTCAGTAAAAAGCATGTTTCATATACACAAAGTTGGGTGCTTATCATGCAAGCCTGTTTAGATATATTGGTTACATGCTTATCTCCTGTGTTTTTTGTGTTTTATTTGCAGGGGAGGGAAGTTATCTTGCAATATTTCCTGCGATTGTTAGTGCTCTTTTGGGAGAAAAGGAAGTCATAATTTTAGATAGTTGTTTTCTTGATGTAGTCTCCCCTTTTACATGTGTTTGATCTTGCTCCTCTTCTCTTCCCTGTGTTTTCTTGTTCTGACTGAGATCTGATGTCTTTCCAAACAGCAGATAGTACTTAGTCAAATGCATTAGCGTGGTTGCTGTTGGTGTTAATTTAGGTGGAAGATGATGTTACAATGTCAGACTTGACTAAGAGATTAATTTCAAATGAATAGGTGGTTTACAAAAGTCTGGGAAGCCCTGACCCAGGAACGGCATCATGCAGGTATCTGGTCACTTTGATGGTCACACAGCAAATTTTTAAATGTCTTCTGTGATACTCAGGTTCCTATTTCTGATCAAAATGCATCTGTTTTATGAAGACATTCCACCTCTAAAGAGACCTCATCTGGGTTTCATATAGTAATTTGTATTTGCATTGCAAGGAGTCTAAAATCCTGCAACGTTGTAAGAGGAGGATTACAGTTTGTGCGCGTTTGGCACAGATGCCGGGTTACGGAGGCCGAACACACGCAGAGCAGAGTTATCCTTTTTCTGCATCTTTCTGTTTGGTTGCCTGTGGAAGCAAAAATCTATAAATGTGTTTATACAAATGTCTATCTCAGTAATAACTTTTGACTACTAGCTGATAGCAATTGGGTTGATGGAGTTGTGAAGGTCTCCAAATTGCTCTAAATTTATTGCTTTTGGGGGAAAAATTAGGATTGAGTAACAATTCTTCATCCCATCAGTCACGTTTTGCAGTTAAATGTTTCACACCATGGGTTGCTGTCAAAATACTTAGAAGGAGATTATAGGAACCTGCAGAGCTAGCAGAACATCTGAGCATAGCTCTGTTAACTGGTCATTCAGTCATGAGATATGCATCTGCTGAAAATCAGACTTTGCTGTTTTCACTGCTCTCACAACTATCCCATTACATTAGTATTTTAGGGCCTTTCTTTCTGAGGTTCTTTCCGAGTTGTCCTGGGCAGCTTGTACTACGGGAGGGATTTTAAAAAGAGGAACTGAACAGACAGAGGGTGGCTGCTGTGTGCAGTGGCTCTAGAAAATCAAAAAAAGAAAAAGCAAACAAAAATCCTCAAGACTTGGTTTCCCCATCAGTAGTTTTCTGGCCACACTTTGAAGTGTGCCAAAGGGTTTTGTGAAAATTACATGCAGTTGGAAGGCACCAGCTGCTTGAGTGATGTTCAGGGGTGCTTTAAAGTATCCCCTGCACAAGGTGCCTGTAGAGCAGTTTGGGATCCCCTGTCCACAGTGTGAGAGCATCGTGGGTGATACATCGTGGGTGAGGGAGTGCTGGGAGAAGGGAAGGATATAGGTTTGGGAGCAGAGGTCTGGGCATGAAGAAAGTCTCCAAAGAAAGAGTGAGGAGCACAGAAGGAAGTGTTGGGAGAGTCTGGGGACACTGCTGCTCAGCGTCTTTTTGGTGGGGAAGGAAGGGGCACTGCTGTCAGCAATGAAGGCAGGCTGCCTCTGTGAGTTCCCAGTGCTCATGGCAAGAGGTGTCAAGTCCTCTGCTTGCCATTCCCTCTTACCTCAGGCAGGAACTGCCCTCTCTGCGTGCCTGGCTGCCTTTTTACTCCTCGGTTCATTTGTTCCCTTGGCTTCAGTTTTGCAGAGGATGTGATTGGCATCTACTACGAGAGCGATGAGGTGGTCTGCGAGGACGTGGAACTGCAGGCTTTCGTCAAGGACATTTATGTCTACGGCATGAGGGGTGTGAAGGCCTCAGGTAAGGCGCTATCTCCTGGCTAAGTCTAAAGCCTGTAGGGTGCCTACTGTTATGGGAGCTGCGTGTGCAGTGTTTCTTCAACTGCCAGAGACTCTCTTCTTTTTTAGCCCTACGATGCAGTTCTATGGGTGAGACCTTGACTCAGGCCTGTCCTTCCTCAGAGAGGGATCTGTGCCACAGATTCTCACCACAAGCTTGAGCAACTTGCATAATTTCTCTGTACATCATATCCCTTCCTGTATGCTGGGAATTGGTCTGCTTAGACTTTGAACTTGTCTTTACATGTGTTTACAACCCCCAATAACTATGTATATGCCTCCTGCTCTTGGGAACACCAGATCAGGACTGTGATAGAAATCAAAACATAAAGCAATGTTCCCTTGAATAATCTCATCCCAGCCTTGCACCAAAACAGAACAAGTAAGGATCTCCCCGGAAATATCTTGCTGCATTTTGCGTTTGTCCAGTACTTTTGTTACCATCAAGCTTTCTGCTGAATTCAAGATGAGATATTCATAATTCTTTCCAAGATTTGTTTTTCTTTGCTGTGTCTCCTCTCTCTGCTTCTCATTTATGGCAAGCCATAGCTTGACTATGAGAGGTTTCACATGGCTCTGTTCTCCTACCCAAGTTAACTTTTGTCTGCCCTTCATTAGGCATGTTCTGTTCTTCCTTCCACATGTTTTGTCCGAGCATATTTTCAGGAATTTATACAGCTAGGCAGGGATTCCTTGTACTGTCCTGAGCACTTTGCTTTTGGAAACACCTGTTGTTCGGTGGTATGGCACAGATAGCTTTGGCTTTGCATGCGCCTGTGTGCGTGTGTATGGAGAACTCCAGGCAGAGCTGTGATGTTTCTACCCATCATCAGTATGTCCCCGTGTTCACGTCCCGAGCATTCCCGCAGCAACTCGGCTGCAGCCGAGAGAGCAACGGATTGACTGGGGCTGGAAAGAATGGGAGAGGGTAAAAGGGGAGGTGGTGGCACCCTGGGCTCCCTCGTTCAGTCCCCTGCTGCTGGGAGCACTGGTGCAGCTGGGAGGGTGCCTACCCCTTTTGCAAGCGAAGCAGAGCGCAGTGTGCGGGGTGGGAGGAGGCAGGAAGGGAGGGAGCTTCCTCCTCTCCTCACCCTGGCCGGCCGGGCTGCGCTCTCCTCTTCCCTCCCACAGCTCGAGCTCGTGTCTGCATCAGGCTGGTGGTGGAGGAGCTGGTGGTGGAGGCACTGGCACCGCCGGCCCCGGCACGGCCCATGGTGCCACCAGCTCCTGGGACCCGCAGCCATGCCAGGCTGAGGCAGGGACAAGTTGCTGGAGCCCAGGGCTGTGTTGGGGAGGGTGCAGGAGAGACGAGCTTCGGGGTGCCTTGGCGTCAAAATACTTCCCTAGCCCTGTCCATTCCTTCCTTTATTTACAGAGTTCTGGTTATTCCTCTTCAGAGAGAGCTTGATGCAGCCATTTCTGTTCCTCTTTCTCTTGTTTCTCTTTCAGAAATTCTCATTTCCTCACTTCCCATTTCAGCAGATAAGCTTTCCCTGCGCTTTTCCTCGCGATGCACCTGATTGATTGTCAAGCCCGAGACCTTTCTAAACCCAATCATACAGTCATTTGCTCTTTGGCTTGAAGTTTCCCTGCTTGCTCTGCAGCCTGAAGAAAAAGGGAGGATCTGAGGCCCCTGTCCTGTGGACTGTCTGGGTTCCTTGCTGCAGGGTAGGTGTGTAAAAGGATGTAATTACAGTATTTTTTAAAAGATATAATTATGTCTTCTCTTTCCTTTAAGGAAATCAAAAAACTTTGAAAACACTTTGGTGATCCCTCACAAACCTTTCTAAGTAGGCAGGATCAT